ATGATTTTTCTGAAGCCCGACTCGTTTCGAAGGCAACGCCTTGTTGCGTAAGTACTGTTGCTGGGCAACTGTCGGTACAAGTTTTGAACTGATACTGTATGAGACGACCCAGAACCAGTAGAAGGGCTATACTCTGAAACCGCCAAAGTCAAGTTCTAAATACCGGAGTACCACACTCTTCGGAAATTCATTTTCATACTGAAGCAGTCGCGGAGGTAGGAGCCTAAATACCCGGGCACTGCAGCTGCTATGACGCCTTGTTGATCCACTTTCTGAACTGCCAAACGTTATTTGGGAAAAGCCTGTAGAGGCGTATTGTTACATAATCTCGACACCTGAGGAACAAAGGAGCGGTTGAACCAGCCAGTTCTCGATGTGCAAGGGGCTGCAGAAGCCTGGCGGGTCCGTTTGACAAGTTCAACGCGCAAAGCATCACGTAAGAGAGCTCTGAGGAAGCCAGCCCCTTGATGTACCAGTAGAAGGGAGCAAGATCGCCATCCGCTCTTTGGTACGGACTGGTCCCGAGACTGTCCGCTAAAATCGATCAGCCCTCCTATGAAAAGTAGCGATATGGATATTTTATTCGGGACGGCAGACCCCAAAGGTGTGAGGAGTAAGCGCCTAGGTCTTATCGGGGTCTTATATAGAGTGAGAAGGTTTTGCGGAGAGTAGTTATTCTCAATCCTAAACAAATAACCTAGCTTCAGGTTCTTGGTCATCTATACGACCAGGTGAAGTGGATGACTTTTTGGCAGAGCTCGGCCGTCCATTGAAACCAGATGACTGCTACTGCGCTTCTTGTTAGACATGGTGCAGTACTGTGCTTTCGACCATTAAACTGTACCAGATTGTTGTTTCCCCAAGCGGTGACAACTTCTGAATCTGTCCTTAGGAAGAAAGGCGCTACTAGTCTTCTTCTCACCACCTTGCCACACTGAACGCCAGCAGGTTGAGTGCTGTCAACTTCAAAGCAGGTAGTTGCAATTGGTCGTACAGAAGAGGAGGTTGTTGATATGTAATAGGAACAATATCAAGACCGATTCTTGGAGACACGCGCATTGATAGCGAAGCATCCACACAGCCAATTACCATGGATATCTTGCGGCCGAAGAGGATGTCAGCCACCCTTCTGGAAAACTTCTCTAGGAGCTCATGGGATGGAAACTTGCATAAGAGTGTAGCATGCCACAGGTAATCAAAAACTGTCGCGATGTCAAGAGCAACGATACGACTCGATGATCTTGCTCCACAGTTGTCTGACGTATGCTAGGAGGTCCCTCAGAGATCTCTGGAGCCCCAAACCATACTGCCTGTTGCTAATCAAGCCATGATGTTCGAGATACCTAGAAGCTCCGAATGTATGCACTCCTCCATTACCTTCCAGTTAATAGAAAACAGAGCTATAGATCTGTTGTTGTAATAGGTTCTGTTTTTGGGGTGCGCAAGGCATGAGCAAGCTTCCGATTCTCTGGGAATGAATCGTGAAATTAGAGGCATCCCGGCCACCATAAGGACCCAGTGCATACGCCGCTTAAACGGGCCCTTATGCACCTCTACATTCCTTAGATCACAAGCCTCGTCCTTTTAGCGAAGTTGAGAATCGTCTTGAGTCCAAGCTTTTTGACGTCCTGAGGGTCCAAATACCCCGCAGCGCTCACACAAGGGATCCTCAGCCACCCCCATCACGTGCAGGTAGCATCTTAACGTGTTATGGCCACACAACAGTCCTACCAGTAACCTTAGGTTGGCTCTGTCCAGAGATAAGCAGAAACGTCCATGCTTAGCCCTGGGCCCTTCAATGAGTTCCCGTGCCTGGCGGAGATGTATGGAGATACTTCTCCATTTCTGAGAGTGTTGTCTTGCAGCCCACGTCTCCATTTTCCTCCTAGCTCTATGCTCGGCCACTCCTAAAGCTGGCTCAGGACCAACGAGCTTGCTGGCTGATCCTGTCTTCGCCAGAGCGTACGCCGTCTCATTGCCCCTTATCCCAGCGTGCCACGGTACCCACATTAACGATACCAGATTCCTCGCTGCGAGGCAATCCAGAGCCTCCCTGCATTGCAGTACAAGACTCGAAGTAATCTTACAGGCACTTAGTGCTTTTATTGCAGCCTGGCTATCGGATAAGATTGTCATTCTTCTCCTAGGCCCACCCTCCTAGAGAATGCGAGATACACAAGCCAGAATCGCAAAGATATCCGCCTGGAAGATAGTGGTGTATCCACCGAGAGGCAGAGATAGCCTAGTTCTAGGCCCAGAGACCCAAGCACCTGAGCCCTCTTCGGTGACCGAGCCGTCCGTGTACCAGACCTGCCCGCTCACTTCGGAGAGTCTCCGGCTACCGGCGTCCCACTCCTCCCTCGTTGGATACTCCACAATAAACTTGCGGTTGAATCGATATTTAGGGGTAATACTATCTCCCCTGAAGGAGGGGTCCTTCCTCCCTTTGCAATTCGACTAAGATGGCAGTATGCCCCTTGACAGGCCCAGCTGCCCTGGCTCCACAGTCGATGAGCGACTACTCTCGCTTCACCGCGGATCGCCAGATCCAACAGGGCTTCCATTGCACTCAATGGAGTTGTTCGCACTGCGCTTGTAATGCTAATACAGGCCAAACGCTGAATTTTATTAAGTTTGGCCTTAGTTGTCTCAGTTCTAATGCAAGGCCACCAGACCAGGGAGCCGTAGAAGAGAGATGGACGTACTATCGTTAATTATCTGGGAAAGTGCCAGATCCGTAACATATCTGGAAGAGACGCGGAAGAACTGGAGAAAGCACCGCTGCACATCGTTTCAGTATAATAGCAGGAATCATCTCAATACCAGAAGCTTTGTTGGTGGCTAGTGACATATTGTTGAAGCAAGGTCTGAGCTGGTTAAGATGACTTGAATAGAGAATACCTGATCTAAACAGATCGCTTAAAATATTTCGTAGGATCGAAGAAGATGATGGTAGCGAAAACCTCGCATTCGTGGGATACACCTTCATACTCGATTTTTTAATTACATTTCTTGGATGTCCGTTAACATGAAACATTTTTCTGTATGACTTTTACCCCAAACGCCAATACCTCCGAACAGATGAACCCATTTGAGATCGTTTTTTAACAGAAAGTCTTGCCTCTCGAGATGTTTAGATATGTCATATGTAAATAGATCCATCTGCATAAAAGTTATGGATGATCAAGTAAGCGAATATGCCCAAATGGCGTATCAAATGGTATGGTTTGATTTGTAGATCACTTGATCCTCCTTTTGATGGACCGTGGTTCATTTATCTGTATGCTTCTAATCAACGATGAAAAAAGTGATCGTGTATCAAACGAGGATCACTCGAAGGGCAGGGTTTTTCCAATTTAGTTGGTAAAATTGAGCTCTTCTGAAGGTAAGTTCACCTTTTCATTATTCTGATATTGAACGTATGTATATGTATAGTTAAAGAACGTATCCATTCCTGAATTGATGTTTGTCTGTTCTAACAGATTTTTTTATTTAAAGAAATCAAAATGAATCATGTTTTTATTGATTTTTTTCTATTTATTATAAATTTGAATTAATATTGACTCGAAATGGTATATTTTTACTTTATCAACAGTCAACCCCCTAAATAAACAGCAAAATTATTATTTTGTGCATTTGAACTTCACGTGAAATGTTGAATAAGACCACCAATAAGGGTTCTACCATTTACGACATCAGTGAGCATTTTCGAAATCCAAAATGAGTATCCGGGAACATGCTTACTGCTATTGCCTTTAAACCCAAGAGTGATCCATTGAACCAAGTAATGTTTAATAATAAAAAATGTAAAATCATTGCTAGGATGGAAATCACAGTTGAGTAGCATAGACTATTGCCTATTCTTTACCAGTTGTTCGCAGCTGAGGCTTCCTCTGCATATATAGACGGAATTTTATATACATTTGGTCTTGTCCAATCTAAACTCCGTAATAGGCTGGAACGTGAAGGTGGCAAACTGTGTGTTCCTTTTTAAATATTGAAATAAATAGCTGTTAATTAATTTTCTTATTCATTATTAGTTTGCTATAATAAAGTAGTTCACATTAATAACTGTTCTGAGTATTTTTCTTTTATGTATCGGACTTGATCATTATTACTGAAACTAATTCGTGAACTTTCGTGAAAAATATCCAGTCTGATTTAAATATTGATTTTAATTGATTCATGAATTATTGACTTAAATTATCGTTTATATCAACCCTGGTTAATAGAACAGTTTTGAGAATAAGCTCGACTAACCTTTATTTACCTCCTCACTACTCTGAGGTTGTATTATTAATAATTGATAGTAATAATAGTAATATTAATAGAAATAAACGTTTCAACATCAGAAAAGAGCGATTCTATTCCATCTCTTTGGTACAGTTGAAATATGTTCATTTTCAGTAATGCACATTGTTTCTACACCAATAGATGAGCGAATGGTTCTAAGAATGAGCTTTACTAAGGACAGCTCCACCCATTTAGCCAAGAAACAATCTACTGTTATTTTTCTAGGAGCTCAACCAGAAATCAGTAGAGGAACTTGTGAATGCGCTCTACTTAAGATTACTTTTTAATATTCTCTTTATCGTGCATGTGCGTTATAACAATTGTTAAAGTTGCATTCAAAGAAAAGATTGATAAATAACTTCTCCCTTTCATAAGGGTATATTCATACCTACGTCTAAGCAACTTACATTTCAACAGCGAATCCAGAACAGCACCGCTTGCAAACATTAATATCCATGTAACCACCATCACAAGCCGTAAGGAACATACCCCGCACTCATATTTCTGCACTGTTCGTGTAACCGGAGGAACAAACCCGCGAAGCAAAAGCAAAAATCCACTAGTGGCTGCGTGTCAAGCGTTGGCCAGAGATAGCAGGAGAGCGAAAAGCAGCGAGAATCGAGGAGCGAGCGGCGATGGTGACCGCTTGGCGTTTGTCGAATGACTGAGAGGGAGCAGCAGAGTTCGGTTCGAAGGACCAAACAGACCGCGGTTGTTTGGTCCGTCGTCGGTCGGATGGTCTGTCGGTCGTTGAGCGGCGCTGGGTTGGTGGTGGGTTGTCGATCCTGCGGCGGCGACGGCGGCAAACGTAGCAACAGCAGGATCGGTGACGGCAAAGCGCGTATCCTGCGAATAGCCAGGGGTGTTTCAGTTCTGCATTTTAACGTATGAACAATTTGAACTAAATCTTGTCCTTGTCCTGTGTATATTGGCTCAAATTAATTTATGTTTTGAGAATTTTTAGCACACTGAGAAAACGTGGGTCAATTAAACAGTTTTTAAATGCCAGGACACCGCGGCAGCTATGAGGATACCAAAAAAGCTTTATTATTCCAACTTTTGAGTTACCTACGGTTAGTAGAACTGGGAAAAGCCTCCTCCTGTAGATTGTATCGACGACACCCTAGGGACACATTTAGGATGGGAGGCCCAAGTTACGCGGGTCTATCTGGCAGGCACATCTCGCGGTGGCAACATGGAGGAGAGCTCTGAGGAGCAAAGCTTGTTGGTGTCACGATAGAAGAGAGTTAGATCGGCGATGGCGAAAGGGTCCCAAGACTGTCTTTTAGCGAAAAGTCATCGATCAGTCGGACAGCGCTTCTCTGGACAGCATCGAGCATGAATAATGTAGTTGAGGTGGCGGCACCCCAAACGTGTGAGTAATACTCGAGGCTAGGTCTTATCTGTGTTTTGTATAGAGTGAGGGGCTCATGTGAAGAAAAGTACTTTTTAGCACTAAACAAATAGCCTAGCCTTTTCCCAGCAGCTGCGGCTATTGACGAGATGTGTTATAAGCAGTGATAACATCCAGGTCTCTCGTCACAGGGGAAACCGCTGCTAGTTGTCTTTTTTCAAGCTCTCTTCTAGTGGATAGAGAAATATACATATAACGTGTTTCTGGACAGTCAGACAAAATAATTGGTAAATCTCATATCTAAATAGTCAATGAAAATATCGAATTTTGGTAGGATTATGAAATTCGGTGGTCTTTAATATGAAGCAAAAATATTAATTATCTAAATTACAATAAGTTTTCCACTTTTTTTATCTCATATATGTCAAAGCACACTTAAGGTACATCATTCAACAAAATGCAATTTGTTCCCTTAACTCCAAATATTATCCAAAATACTTTCAAATCTCAATAAAATAATTCATCAAAACTAGATATATATCTTTACCTACAATAATTAAGCAAATTAATAAATTTCATTCAGTTTTCTTTACCTTGAGTAGGTCATTTTAATAGTTCATTAATTTTAAATAATGTCTATGCTCAATCTGAGCAGATGGTTTAATAAATTTAATTTGATATAAACAAGCTAGTTTCGTAGGTTCAAGTGAGCTATTTCAGAAATCGGAGTTTAATACAGCTAATTAATTTTTATCAGTGTAGTTTCTACAGTACTAATACTCATAGAAAATATTGAAAATGTCACCTCCATGTCTTGTGCAAATTCCACCTTATACAATGCAAGGCTGATATTAATATTTTGTTGACTCTCCAACACTTATCCTGGTTCTTTCGCAGTAGATTTTGCAATTGAAGGCTTTGGTGCAAAAAGGTGTTAAAAGGGTGCTTTTTGGTAGTGCATCTATCCTGCCAAAGATGGCTCTCAATTCTTAGATACAGAGATTCATAAAAGTGTTAACTATATCAAAAGCTTCAATCTGTAAACTTTAAAAGGTGTTAACTCTTGCATTGTAGGTAGAAAGGTGTTACCTCAAGGGTTAACTTAGATTACGTCTAAAATGTACAAATGTTTTCGATGTAGGAGCGAATGAGGAACATGTTGCAAAGTATGAAAAAGCTTGTGACTGCTAAAACAAACGAAAAAATCATATACCTCACATTTTATTTACAAAAGACGCTTCCCTTGCTGAAAATTTCTACAGGTACAGCCTTCTATTTACGACAAGTATAAAGAAATATATTTTCTGTCTATAGCACTACCAAATGATCTCTGGAGTGTTCAAAAAAGTTGACCATAAATTCCTTGAAGTAGGACATACCTTCATGGACTGTGCTAGAGATTTTGCAGCCCTAGACAAGTCTATCAGAAAGCTCCAACTAGTTTATGCGGTGGATCAATATACAGGGTGTAAACGTTATGATAGTCATTATTTAAATGGGTGATATAGGGGGTTAAAAGAAGCAAAAAGTTTCATATAACATGAGGGTCAAAACGGCATTTTTTTAGAGAAAAGCGACTTTGAAGTAAAATAAAATCTGTCAACGCCAGACGAAAATTACGACGGAACGCAGTGTAAATAAAGTTTGTTATGCTTGGCTCTTAGGTATTATTTCATTATTTGATAATGTACTCGTAAAATGCAAACAATTAAAAAAACGGACTTACCACTAACCGTCTCAGCGCTTCACCTGATTTGTTAAAGTTTATTGAACGTATTAAAAAAATCCACTTATAAATAGCGAACACAATTTTGATACATACATTGTTTTTCTTTTTAAAACCCATACTGCACTTTTTGTATTTAAAGAAGTTGTTCAAAATTTCGTCCTCCACTTTCCACACAAGCTTCATTACGACGAACCCAGTTTCTTCTTACTCTAGGTCCTCGAAGTTGTCCATTTCTTATTTCAGCCGCATTAAATTTTTTTTCTCGAAGTTGTGCTTCAGTTGTTATTCGACCAGCCCCATAAATCATCCCTTTAAGTTCTCCCCAATACCAGAAATCTATCGGATTGAGGTCAGGAGATCTTGCTGGCCATTTCCGGAGCATTTCGACCGATCCAGCGATTTGGATAATGTTCATTCAAATACTGAATGACGCCTCTAAAAATGTGTGGTGGTGCCCCGTCATGAAAAAACCACAAATTCTGACTCCGTTGTAATGGGATGTTGTCTAAGGTCTGTTCCAAAAGTTCTGGTAGGTTATTGGCTAGAAAGTTAAGGTATCCTTCTCCTGACAACATTGGGGTAACTCGAAAGGGCCAATTACCTGATCGTCAACAATACCGGCCCCAATATTTATTTTAAAACGTTGTTGGAAATGACCTTCACGAATGGTATGAGGATTTTCTTGGGCCCACGTGTGAGTATTATGGAAATTTAATATCCCGTCCCGCGTAAAAGTATATACATTCGTCCGTCGCTAGAATGTTTTTAAAAAAATCCGGATTTTCAATGCTTTTGTGCAAAAACCACTGGCAGAATGTTAGTCTGCGAGTATAGTCTTCTGGTAACAAGGCCTACACTCGTTGTACATGGTAGGGATTCTATGGACTATGGTATGCGATAGTCCTACGCGGCGACCTAATTCCCGAGTGCTGATATCTGCATTGATTTCCACGATATTTAAAATTTGTTCCTCCTGCTCTACAGTAACCTGTCTTTCACGAGAGCGAATATTAATGGGCTAAACACTTCCTATATCTAGAGGTCTTTGGTACACTTGCACAAATGTCTGTCTGGGTGTTCTGTTGCGATAAATTTGAGCTACAAGGTTTGAATTCTGACGAACTTGACCGTAAACTAACAACGTGTCGGCGAGCTCTTGATTCGAGAACATTGTCAATAAACACGGCGACGTACGCGAACAATAACTATCCACTGTTATCGTTTGCGATCGATTGCCGGTTCGATAAGAGTGATCAATGACCGATGCGCTGTTGTCATGTGTGTTTCAAATATTTAATTGAATAATACTTTCTTACTCGTACTTACTGACTACAAATTTTGGCTTAACTTAGAAAAACTTAATGCCATTTATTTGTTAATTACCGAATCTAAAAACGTTTTAGATTATAAAAATTAGTAAGATTGTGGCATTTAAAGTTGTAAACTATAAAGCCATTTAGACAAAAATCTATTGACTTTTGGGCCATGGGTCATATGAACTTTTTGACTTGTACTGATCTGATCTGATCTGTACTATTACCCATTTCAATAATGAAATACCATGGCAGAAGCCAGGAAAAATGGATCCAGATTGAAGAATTAGGTGTAACCTAGAACAGATAGTCTTTTAATAAAGCGGACTATTATTGATATAAGGAAACAACGAAATCTCAATAGAAGAGTAGAAAATGAACCGTTATTGTTGAATGTCTATAGAATCTGGCCTATTGGGGCCAAAAAGTTTGATAATATTCAGGAACAAATTCTTTTAATACCAGCAAATTTAAGAGACCTTTATTAAAATTTAGGAAGCGCAGACGATTAGTGACAGTGTGTGTATTATTAATTTGTTATTACTATTGTGAGTTTGTACTAAGAACAAAGAACACTGTTTACTTTTAATAAATAACATCATTGAATTAATACCTTTCTGCTACTTTCGCTTTCCGGACCAAGCAAATAAAAATGAGATAAGTCAGATTTTCAACAATCTTTTTCAAATTTTCGATAATAAGAACAATTTGTTTTACAAAACTGTCTATCCAAGATACTTTTGTATGTGTCTAGAATAACCTTCAACAATAAATGCAGCCCTGACACTATTCAATAGAAAATTTCAGGATTTATAAAATCTCTCTCAAAAGCTTCAGTTGACAAGTCGAGTTATTGTCAAATCATGTTTTTACTAGTTGCAACAATATGATAATGACCTTACCCTTTTTAACGGCATTGTGTTCTGTACCATATAATCTAATTCATTCTTACAGTAGTACAGCATTCATTAACAGCCCCGAGTGAAGAATGTGAACCGACTCGACTTATCCACATCCTTTGACATTCAATACTCCTCTTATCTCTACTCAGGTATGACTTTTTTCTTGCAAATGTTGCAACTAAGAAGATATATTATGCTGTTGCCAAATCACGTCTTCACTAATTGTAATTTCACTATATGACGTTGACCTTATGATTTTTAATGAGCATTGTGTTCCGAACCGTGTAATCTAATTCATTCAACATCTATAAGTGAAAATGTGAACAGACTCTTGTAAAGACCTATCAACATCCTTTTGAGATGGCGGTTAACCTTTTCGAACGCTTACGCAAGAGTTTAATTTGCCTCTTGCCTACAAGCAGCTAACAGACAGTCTGGTCAAATTGAATTTTGCGCATAACAAACACCTGCCGTTTTGGGTTGTGACAACTCACAATGGCGGGTTCTATAACGAGATTCTGCTGTTTCGTGCTCTAGCTCCGAAATTTAGCAAAGGAGGCTATACTGGGTACGGC